TGGCTGGCTTGCAACGCAGGTTACCCAGATCAGTGAGAGAACACTGAACCGTAGGACAGCTACCTCTTCCCACATGTCGGCGCCATACCGACCCCACCTACTGCTTGTCACGGGGAATTCTTTGCTACTATTACAAGCTGACTACCTTCTCACAAGCTCAATGAGGGAAGCGTGGGAAACACAGTGATTTTATGGGAGGGAGGGGGGAATTGAAAATAACTATTTTTGAAAATTTTTACACTTATTCTAAGGACTTACGCTGAAGCATCCACTAGCCAAAGAGAGTTCTTGTTCTCTTGTTAGCATTCCTACGTAGGACCAACATCCACTTCCATCGATCACCTTTATACGATTTATCGCATTGGCATTCTCGACAAATTTTACGCAAGTACGGTTGCTAATGTATTTGAGATGTGTCCTCACAAGATCTTGATTAGCAGCAGCTAAAACCACCTGATCAAGGTAGAGAATTGCTGGGTGAACACTACTTTTATTTTCAAAAACTTACTTATATTAACGTCGAAATAGTAAAAAACCGTGTTATTCTCCCAGCGCTTGGTTCTTGAGGAAATTTGACGTTTCTGCCGATTGGGATGCTCCAAGGCACTCAGCTGTTCCCTAAAGTTCACGGAATAGTTCTACTAACGTTTCATAATTTCTAAAATATGCTCCTAGGATGAGTTTGTAGCCTCCTAGAGGATAACCCATCCCACAATACCCCGTCTTGGGCGTAAACAGGGTGTGTAAGGGTTCCAAGACTGTCTTGGGCAACGTACACAACCAAAAGTAGGTACGATGGCCCTGTTGAGTGTGCACTATTCACAATGTAGCACACGCATTAAAAACTCAAAAGACTGATAGTGACTCATGGCGACAGTGAAAGGCATCTTTCATAGTCCACGACCAGTCGCGCGACCAGTCGCGCGACCGGTCGCTCGACTGGTCGCTCGACTGATCGCTCGACTGATCGCGCGGGACCGTCCACGGCGGCACCCATAACTAGCGCGGCCTCCTCGACCGATNGGACTATGAAAGATGCCAAAGGCATTTTCGGCATTCTTGGCCCACTGTAGCCAGCTCTACGCAATTGCACACAACTGGCAGTTCGTCCCGGTTTTCTTGCCTTCTTTACCACCGTTGTGCTATTCTCCACCATCAATTTACTAACTTTCTTACTCCACACTGGAATAAAGTTATGTGTCTATTTAAAGGTGCAACTAATTCAGCTATCTTCACCCATATGGTTATCGGATACGGCTTCTCCATGATACTGTATCAACATCATAAACTGATTGTAATGGTTGAAAGCAGAAAAAACTAAAAAACGTTAGGGAAGAATTTAGGGCTCTTTGTCAATGAATTGATGTCCAGCTCATATCGCACTATGGCAATCGGATCGGCCTCGTATCCGAGTTCAGTTGACTAGAACCAAATTGGTTTGGACGAATAGACATGCTGGCTCGAGCGGTGATAAACTTGTCAGACCAACTGCGCTGTAAAGATACTATCGACCATAAAAACCTACGGGGAAGGGTGACTGCCTTCGAAATGATAGGTCATTCCTAAAACCATGGACTTTTTCAGTTATTCTCATGGAGATAAACCACACAGTCTTGAGCTGAATCGCCCGCAGGGCAGAGCAGTTGCGAGAATACGGTATTGGTTCTTAAGTGAATGGTGATTAGTACAGTTTCCATCGCCAGCTGTACTTGTTGGTACGATCTGGCGCCATTATGGAAAACCCCCTCAAACTAAGTAGGGGTGATTGTTATTGTTTATCCTTTTCAGTCTTTATGAAAAATAAACTCACTCAGTAAGGATCATATCGCCACCATACAAATACTCATCGATTCCTTCTCTCCGATTTATTGCTAGGATCGAATCGTCGTCAACCGCAGTACTCTCTCCATCCAACACCTTCAATGAAAGCTCAATAGAGGTAAAAGATTTTGCGACCGCAACGAAACGCTCACGTCTTCGGATGTCAAGTCTACAAGTGTTGTTTGTCCGACTGTTCCTGATATGGTGTTTTGCTCCGAAGCACTCAAGCCGAGATTTCTCAATCTCTCACGACGCTCTTCAATGTTGATGCCTTTGTATGCCTGAAACTTGCAGACATTTCAATCACAAAATCTACTAATAACCATAATATTGGAGTAAGGTAATTTTTGGTTAATAAGAAGTTGATATGACGGGGAGCTGTTTCGGTGGTAATATAAGAGCTATATTCCGCCAAATAGCAGCTCCTTGATAGGAACGCCCATTGAGGGCGTGTAAAACGGGTTTCCTGAGACGGTACTTCGGAGATAGACTGTGTAGCACAGATATAGCGTGGAGCAACGTTGTGTGAAAAGTGACCAGGTCAGTCAAGGCAAGCTCGGGCACAACGTCAATGTATAATAGCCACCTAATTACGGGAATACACATCTTACACAACCATGCAAGAAAGTCAGCACATTGTACAGCGCTGAGATTGAACTAGTACAGGAAGTACGCATTTTTAAATCCGTCGCTCTTCCTAGCCTTTATGTCCATTGAAAAATTCGCATATTTTTGAGTCCACTAATTACACGATACCCCATGAGACTGCGCTTCGAAGAAGCCTACTTCGATAAGGTAAGGTGCTCGAGGTATACTTCAGATGGCTTCTGAGGTTTGAAGGAGCTATACGGTTTTCAGGGACGAAGAGTGAAGGGGTTGTCGCTAATAGCCCGCCTCTGTCACGAATTTCCTGCGCTGCAAATTGAACCTACTACTTATACTTCATCTATTCCAAAGCCAATCTCACGAGCCCTCCTTTTTCAAGGAATGAAAAAATTGCAGGACATACTTTCGTCAGGGCAATTCTTCCTTTTTCAGAAAGGCAAAGGCTGTTGTCGAATAGCACAGTAAGAAGGAGCAGGACACCAATCATTCCTCGTCGCATTACAATTCCGATTGAGCTGTGTGACGCTGAAATTCTAGGAGAACCTACAAAGTTTGTTTCTTTCGCAAATTACTTGACAATAATAAAAATGAGTATAAATTCAAGCAATGACAGGGCCTTGTTGCACCAGTAAATGCAGCTTGATGGGTGAACGTGACTCCCGAATGCCTTTTTATACCTGAGGCCATGTTCCCATGAATTCGGAACGTTAGTCGACAGTCTCCTACATTGCCCCGAACTCTCACTAAAGCTTAGTCCCGATTATTTTCGTACGCACTACAAACGGAATTAGCTCTGCAACACAAATCGTTCAAAGGTTGATTTTTCTGAATTTTCAATGAAAATCACTCCGGCGTCCAACTGCCACTAACGATCCCAGACTATTTCACGTGAGTGGCAATCTGCATTGAGAAACAGAGCCGTCACGAGGTCACCGTAATCAGTGAATGCTATACCTTCTACAGTATCCCTAAACCTAAGCCCAAACCTCCAACCTCGAAGTGATGACAGCAGGCATATATGTAGGTAGAAGACGACGATCTGTTATAATTCGAACTAGGAGAGCTGTTTCAATAACCCTATGCGGTCCGTAGGAGTCCCGTCACCTACACTGCCCTTCAGAGAGTTACGGGTGCTGCAGCGAGTCCATAGTTGAATAAACTTCTTCAAGCCTTTTGATATAGAACTTCATCTTGCGCTTTCTATTAAAGTGTTAGAGAAAAGGCAACTTACTCATGCTTTAGGTCGGGACAGGTCCAGACGAAGGCGAAGAAGTAGGAAATTCAGTTAGTAGAAGTTTCAAACATTACGGGCTTGAAGAATCTTTCCGACTGGACCAATCATGCCGAGACAGCAAGGAGGTCGAACCTGAACAATTCGGGTTCAAATACTCTGAAAATACCCACCACGCTCGCATATCTGGAAAACTCCAAAAAAACCCTCTTCTGAAAAGTTGCTTCACAGAGAGCCTTTCAAACTACCTTGGAATCATGGAAATTTTCTTTAATCTCTTTGATATCTACAAAAATATCACTTAAATGGATGCTTAGCCCCTTTCTGCCCAGACGGTGTATTGTTTGCATCCACTTCTCCGTCGGACCTCGAATTTTTGAAAAACCCAGTAAAACACAGATCAATCAGACCAGGAACTGGCAATAATTCGATAATCCTGCTTAGTTTCGGCGATGAGCGTACTGCAGCTGTTCTCGTTGTTCCGAGACCAAAACACAATCGGGTAATACTAGTTTATGACAACTAGGTAACCTTTAGTTGACGAGGAAGTGTGCGTGACTTTGTATTGGTTGGTGGTATGGTAATCTGCTAATATCTACGTACGAGCCATCGTTCCCTATGCGACCAATCCCGCATAGGTTGAGCCCTGCAATCGACTTGCGTTCCATACTTTCGTCGTAATTTTTGCCCAAAAAACTGTTCCGGTAATAAGCAGACAGTTCTCTAGTAGCCTACAACTGTCAGATAGACCGCAACCCGGATGTCAACCCGTAAACTGACCCCTTGATCAGGGAACTGTAAATGTCCTGATTGCCAAGCTTCTTCTATCTTCACCTACTGGTACTATCTAGGAGAAGAACCTCACAGATAGACATGCTGTGAGCTATCTTAGCTCTTCGGTAACGACGTCATCCAGTTCTTAGAATTTTTCAATTTTCATTTTTTCAATTCAATATTAAGATGAAAAACAATCTCAAGAACATTAGCAATGCCGAGGCTTCAAGATGAGAAAACTTGGAATTTAATACAGAATCCAATTCAGACTAGGAGAGAAATGCTGTACATATCTTAGCCCTTTGGTAATGACAGAATCCGATGGTAGTCTACGCATGTCTCAGCATTCAGACTAGAGGCCATTGAGGGCTGGGACACTTTCTAAAATGCGTCCCGCATTCAAATTCCATTCCGAAGAATGTGGCGGTGTGAAGGCATCTATAAAGTGGTTTGGGGTGGCCGGCAGAGGTACAAGTCACTATTTTTATTATTTCAGATGAGTTGGATACCGTTTAGCAAATGCAAATTGATGGAAGTCTTGGTTAGCTTGCGCGAGTATGAACCTGTATCCAGTCTTCTGACCACACCTACATATGTTGCCGCTACAACACCATCCTACTGTTATTAGCGGCTAGTAATTGTTTGGTAAGTGCCTCATATATACTTACACGTATTGAGACGCAAGAATAATTCATTTCCAACATTGATTTATCGTTTTCAATAGCCTTCGAAGACTTCTCTGGTCACACCTTCATAGGGATCAAGATCGTCTTCTAGATGGAAAGAGAAAAAACGACGGACGATGCTTCAGGAGAAGACCTTCTTGAATGAATGAGGATATGCCTTGACTTTTTCAGCACAAGCCTCATAAAGCCTCGACCACCTGCAGGAGTTCAATGAAGTGCCCTACCTAGCATTATTTATTGATACCAAGGACGGAATTTCCTCTGAAGAAAACCTCTTAAAAACGAAAGAGAAACTCAAAAAAGCATATTACAGCCACGAAATTCGGTTCAAAAGTGGAACTACGTTCAGCAGTAAAATCGAAGAAAAAGCGAAGATGTGGATAAGAAGAATTTTGATTGAGAAGCTACTGGAGAAAAGGTTGAGAGGAAACACTATGTAATTGCCAAGTCTCTTCAAAGCATGTTCAAATGGGACTACTAAAGTTGAAAAGTGGAAGTTGCTAGATAAGATTAAGAAGAGCATAATCATAAACAAACATCCGAAAGTACCAAGTCCATTTGCATTTTGAAGAAGAACAATGACAAGGTTGCCATGCCCACATACATCTTCTACACAAGCCCTAGCAAGGGTATCAAAGCAACTTTCATTTATTTTATAGAAAATAATAAAATCCCACGAAAATTTCATGTTGAACACATGTAATTAAAACCTAAAGCACCACCAGAATGGTACCGTACGACACCAAAGTACTCGTCTACCTGGAAGTAATCCGCAATTCGTAGATGGAAGGGGCCAACAAAATTATACATAGGGACTTTGACCAGGCCCTATTGAAGCAGTTTCATGGTCTATCACCTACATCACCTCGAAATATCTTTGCCGACGCCAGAGCAGGTATCAGTACCATCTAATCCAGAAATAAAGCGGAATCGTGCCTACAATTTCCTAGAATTCCACGAGGAAGACTTGTTCTTTTTTTCTATAAAATTTGGACTACAAATAACCTTTGAAATTTAAGTCAGGTCCACATCAATTTTTTTATCCTCCTGGACAAGACCAATACCATTTGACCAGGTGAGGAAGAATTCGTCTGTAAAAGGGACTTCATGCAGGACACGATACAGTCTGCTTCCATTCCTCTCTGGGTCTTCAGATTTTTGAAAAAATCCAGTGGAACATAGTTGAATGGCAGCAGAAACGAGCGGTAACTTGATAATCCCGATTAGTTATGGAGATGAGCGGCCTCCGTCTGTCCTCGTCGTTCCATGGCCAAAGCCCAATCGAAACAGACTGGTTCATTATAACTAGGTAACTATTGGTTTGTTAGACCGAACAATTTGCTCGATTTTGAGTGTGGTGATGGTAGAATTTGAAATTATCTACTCAAAACAGCCATTATTTCCCGATTTCCCATAGCCTATAGCCCTGCATGGATTACGCCATGCAAATCAATTGCGCTAGAAAATGACCCGACAATGGAGGAAATGGGCTCTTGGAGTCCTCAAATGTCCTCCGAATGTCATACCCGCAGAAAAATCTGAGGTCACAAATTCTATCCCCACTTCCTCATAATGCCCACTTCTTTAGGGTAGGGAAGGTCTGTAAAGTACTGATCAGTGGTCACCTTTTCACAGCCTACCCTTGGAAAAAGACTTCATAAAGGGCATTTCTAGGGAAATTAGAAACTTCGAGCTTTCCAATGCCTCTTTTACTTGTTAGCCAAGCAGAGGATTGCAAATCCCGCATGTACTCTTCCGTTCATTACTGGTTTCTCAGAAAATCCTGCACGAAAATGACGTGAAGCCATTGCATTCAGAATAAATTAAGGCTCATAAAGGGCTGAAAAGGGTCAGACGGGATAGGGGCAGTAAATACTCAAGGCACGGACGGTTCTATATCCACTAATTCAATTAGTTCAACATATTTGGGAAGGATATGAGTCCTTCTTGTTATGTATGCCATAAATAGAGGAGATATATATCATGTTAATGAGGGGAATACAGAGAATTATATAAGTACTAATACATATTCGTAGAAGGGTTAGTTAATCAAGAAGTTAACGGGCAACAAAGCCACATGGTAGGCGCATTTCTAATTTGTAAGCTATGACAATAGGGCACTGGAGTTAAAAAATGAATGAATCCAGTTGACCTGACGTCCCGCCACCTGTTCTTTGACTTCTTTGGGGCTTCCAGGCTCAAGGGAAGGAGCCACTGGGAGCCCCAAAGATCAGGTGGCACGACGTGGTCAAGAAAGACCTCGCTGATGCTAAAGTAGCGGCAGAAGATGCCGTAGATAGAAGGATGTGAGGACGATCGACAGGATTAGCTGACCCTACGACGGTGTGGGTTATGCGCTGGAAAAAAAGAAGAAGAAGAGCTGACCTGAAAATTTTCTTTCATTGTTGGCCCAATTCAGTGTATTCCGCCACTCCAGGTATGCTTTATAGTGTTTTGGCTTTTTTCCTACATTTTTTTACCGCTGCTGCATTCTGCTACACTCCTTCGCGCGCGGCGTCCCTCTCTCCGCGACGCGACAAATTCGATACTACTGCTCCACACCAGTGGAATACAGAAGAAGGAGCAATCATATCTTTGCACACAATTCCATGCGACATGGCAGGGTTAGATTTTTCTGCTGTCAATGAAGGCTTAAGTTCCTTACTGTTTTTCTTAGGCTCACTCTCAAAACGAGCTCTGAGTAGATTTGAAGCACTTTGCCATCCCCGCATATTCAGCGGTAGGATATTCGATCAAGCAGCTCTTTCGCCGATTCGTCATCCGAATTGTTTTTTC